GAGAGAGGCATTCCTATCCTTCCCTCCCGAAGTCAATTTATAATTTCAAGCGATTGTCATAAAAATACAAATAAGTTTCTTTTTCAATACTATACACTGATTCTAAAGTTCATATGAAAAAACAGATAAGACAAGCCAAGAAAACTCCGCAAAAGAAGAGCAAGGGGGGACCAGCCCTGCCAGACACTAAAGCCCATCATGAAGTCTCAACAGCGAAGGTACTGGCACATGAACAGACACAAATTCATATGGGGATTTGGTGTACAGAAATGAGGCATCCGAAGCCAGGGGGGGAAAGAGAACCAGTCAATTATTGGTGTAAGGACAACTGGATAGCTCTTTAGAAAAAAAAAAAAAAGTTGGATTCACACCTCCTATTGAATGCCAGAATAAATTCCAGAAAGACTAATGGTTTAAATGTAAAAATAAATCCATAAAATATTACAAGAAAACACAAGAATTTTTCCTCCTTTTTTTTTTTTTTTAAGATTTTACTTATTGATTTGACAGAGAGACAGCAAGAGAGGGAACACAAGCAGGGGGAGTGGGAGAGGGAGAAACAGCCTTCCCGCTGAGCAAGGAGCCTGATGCGGGACTCGATCCCAGGGCCCTGGGATCATGACCTGAGCCACCCAGGCACCCCAAGAAATTTTCCTTCTAAGTCAGGAGTGGGTAAGGGCTTTCAGTTACTCAAAACCCAGAATCCATAAGGAAAAGAGCAATATATTCAGTCAAAAACTTCTGTGTGAGAATACCACTACAGGCAAAGTCACAAGGCAAATGGCAAACTGGGAAAACATACAAGCAGTTCCTATCACATATACGGGCCAGATCTTCCTCATTTATACAAGCTCCTAGAATGGATAAGTGCTCGAAAATCTGCGAGAAAAATGAGCAAAGGGTAAGGACAACAGTTCACAGAAGAGGAAAAAAGATGTTTAACTGCACTCAGAATAAAGGAAATACAAACTGAAACTACAACCAGTATCTATAGTTCACCCGTCTGACTGGGAAAAGCCCAGAACGTCTCTCCCACCCGCTGGGGAAGCTACAGTGGTGGCAGGAGTAGCCATCAATACAACTCCGATGGAGGGCAAAACCACAAATTACAAATCCGAACACCCTTTGAGCAAGCAACTCGCCACAAAGAGATACTTGACACAGGTGTAAAATGATATAGGTACAAGTTTAACTGAAAGAGCAAAAATAGGCATCTTCATTTCTGTGATAAGGACTGCCTACATGATCTATGGAACAATCGCGCAATGAAAGGAATCAAAGGAAGCTCTAGATGAAGGGCGTGATCTCCATGTTATACTGTTGACAAAGCAAGGCGCAAAAAGCGTTTACAGTGTGCTACCTTTTGCATATAAAAGAAAGGATTTCAGATTCTGTATTCTGCTTGTATATGCAAAAAAGAAATGCCAAAAACAAATTAGTAACAGTGGTTAGCTGTGGCCGGGATCAGAAGAAACTGGGTAGACGGGGAACCAGAGGAGAAAAATGGTTCATTACAGACATTTTTTAGTCATTGATTTATTTTTAAATCGTGGGACTGTATATTTCCTATTCAAAAACAAATTTGATTTATAAGTATAAAATTCTAGGGGTGCCTGGGAGGCCAGTTGGTTAAGCATCCGACTCTTGGTTTCGGCTTGGGTTGTGATCTTGGGGTCATGGGTGGAGCCCATCATGGAGTCTGCTGAACATTCTCTCTCCCCGCCTCCACCCCTCCCCCCTAAAATAAATAAATGAATCTTTAAATAGATAAAACCCTAAGTGCGGTAAGTACTAGGACAGAAAGGTGCGTGGCAATGTGGGAGCATGTAATGGGGACCCTGAAGTGCCTCCCTGAGGAAGGAGCGTTTGAGCTTGGATCCCAAAGCTCACTTGGTAGTCAGAGGAAGAGGTGGCACACCGAGGGGACAATGCAAGTGCCATTCGGTGACCAAAGAGCTGCAGCCTACACCCCCAGCCTGGAGCCAACCCAGCCTCTGGAATAGTTAGACTTACTATGTCAGAAAGCATAAGCTGGTCTTCCAGCTCAGCAATCTGGGAGTCCTGGGATATAATAGGTGTCTCTTCTCACACACACACAAACACACAGACCCCACCCCACTGCAGCCCTGGGCTCCCTGCCTCCAGATCAGGAGAAAAGTAAGACCCAGCCGTCTCCATGTCCTGCTGCGGGAGGCAGGCCCTACCTCGGTGAGGCCCTCCTCAATTTCCCGAAGCGGTTTCTCTTACCATTTCATGGTTACCTGGCCTAGGACCCTGGGGGGGTGGGGGGTGGGAGGGGGTACAAGTAGGAGGCAAGGGCCGCCTGCCCATCTCTAGGCAGCTGAACAGAAGTGGAGCTGAATTGGGGCCCTAGGGCAGCAGGTCAGTCCTGCCCAGCCCCCGTGATCCTTTCTGCCCGTCCTCTGGCCTTGGGCTTACGCCCAGAAACCAGTGGTCATACCCTGAACCTACCCCAGGAAGGAACAGACGGCCCTCCCGGACCACGGCAAACACCCACCAGGAGTTTTCTAGGCAGAACCCGGTCCTGGAACATGTGGGCCATGTGGTCCAAGGGGTCCCTGTTCCCTGTATACAGGACCGGCTGCCTAGCCCAAGCCCTCACTGGGACCCTGGACCCTTGTCCTGGGGGAGGGCTGCAAATGAAAGGCAACAGCTAAAATCCCTGAGACACTAGGAGACCCAAGGGAAAAGTCCAAAGCTCATTTAGCTGAGAAAGTTCCTCGAGGTCCAGGAGATTTTAGGGAAAACTGAAACACTGGAGGTGAGCAATGCAGAAGGAAGGGCTTGTTTGGGGGCAGACTCATAGTCCGACATGGCTCTTTCCCAGGCTCCTGCACCGAGAAGCCGGGCAGGGTGATGAAGGACTCAGCACTCCCGCCGGTGCAGGCCAATGAGCAGAAAGCCCTGGTCCACATGGCTTATCTAGGAATCCATCCTCCACAGCCCTTGCCTGCATGGTCAGAAGCTGCTCCCTCTCCAGGGATGCTCCAAATAGTTGCAGATCCGACAGCTCAAGCCCTGGGCACAGAAAGACGGGTGGAGAAGCTGAAAGAATGCTGGCCTGGGGACAGGTGTGGGTCCAAGACGGCTCCTTCACTCCCAGCCCCTGGGACAGTCACCTCTTCTCCAGGTCCTGCCGCTGCACACGGGGTGCTGTAACCAATAAGCTGCTCGTGCTGGGCAGATGCGGGGGGCGGGGTGGGGGGGAGGAAGATGCTCTGCATCCCAACCCTCTGCAGAGGAAGCTGAGTTAGTATGGGGAGTATCCCTACGGCCAAGGAGAGGTGAGCTCCAGGCAGGCGTGGTGAGTATAGCTAGGGCTAATCCCAGCATCACGAGCCCCTCAGGCAGCCCCACCGGCTCAGACTCAAGACCATATGCGGGATTAAGGCAAACCCCTTATGGACTCCAGGAGAGGCACCGGAGAGGCAAGCCAGGCTGGCTCACGCAAAGATCCAGCTCTTGCCAAGCTCTGCCCTGTGCACAGTGGTAGGCAGAGACGTGCCTGCCAGCTAGTCCCAAACTCCCACCACAGAGGCCCTCGTTAACCTCTCCAGGTTGGTGCCATGACCTGGGCAAGCAGAGGAGGCCAGGTAGGAGCCAACGGGGAGCAAAGTCTTGGCCAGGATAGTGCCCAGTAAGACCCAGGAGGCCCTTCTGTCCCTTGGTTAAAAGGCCCCGTGCTCTGGGAGGTGGGGGCTTGGCCTACCCTTCCCATTAGATCGGTGGTTGCCTCCACCCCCAGGAGAAGTTGGGTCTGCCCCTTTCTGCCACACACCCCCAGCACCTGCCTGCCTCGCATGGGAAAACCTGGGCTCCTTGCAAAACGGAAAAATCAGGAGTTCATTACACTCATTAAGCTTTCTCCTAGTTGCTTGTTTATAGATTACCAACTCAGAAGAGAACGGAACAGACTCAGAAAATTAGAACTAAGGGCTGCTTGTCTTGTATACCAATCAATCAGAAATGACCCATTGCTGGCATTTTCCATGAGGAACTATGATTCACAGGATTCTGATGTGCATGCAACTCCTCAGGAATAGAACTTAGGTATAAAAGAGGCACATCCCTGCACCCCCTCCTCACCCCTGCGTCCCCTACCACCAGCCGCACCCTGAGGATTACATGCACAGCCTGGGCAACTGCATCTGGCAGCCTCTACGGCCCCCGTGCTCCACCCCACCCCACCCTGTACTTCCAGAGTAACGACGGGTAGCAGAGAGGGGCCAGGCCTGTGCCCTGGCGGATAATACCAGGTCCCCAGACTTCAGTTTGCCACACACTTGAGCTAAAAATTTCCACATAAAATGCTTTTTGTGGGCCTGCCAGAGCCAGATGGGGAAAGAATGAGCCTCAGCAGCCTGGATGGGGCGTCAGCGGCAGCATCCCTGGGGCTCCAGAGTCTCTCTTGTAAGAGCCAGGCCCCAGGCAAGGCCAGGAAGGAGCGGCCACCGGGGCCAGGGTGAGGCCTTCCCTTCCAGAGGGCAGGGGGTGCCAGGCCCGGCAGAAGGCACATGCCAAAGAGAGGCTTCAGAACTCATCAGTGACTCTTTCCCAAGAAAGTGAACGTGTGTTTGGCTCCAGCAAGGCCAAATTTGGGGAAACCAAAGTGGAGAGATTTGACCCATCATCATTGTCCTTGTGGATAGTTGCCATGTATTTAAAGCCTCCCACGTGCACAGTGCTTCCTGCATATTCTCTCAGGTAATTCTTACAACCACGAAATGTTTTTAGGTAGGGAAACCAAGGCTCAAAAAGGTCAAGAAACTTGCCCAAAGTTACCCAGGCAGCAAGTATGAGGGGAAGGATGTACTGCTGTGGGACTCAGACCCGGGGCTCCTTCCCCAGTCTGGCCCCGGCACGTGCCAAAGCCCGGAGCTGGATCCCAAGAGTGGATTCTCCACAACTCCATCCCTACCCAGCCCACCCCCAGCAGAGCACCAGGGCTGGCTCTCAAGGCCAGGCAGTTTCTTTCTTACATGGCCGAAGGGGTCCAGGTGGTTGTTTGTGAGCTTCAGCTTCTGGAAGGAGACCAGCTGCCGCATCCAGTGGGCCCCAGTGGCAGGAGAATCGGGGTGGACATACAGCCTTCCTGGCATGGCCGGCTCAGCCTTCCCTGCCACCATCCTGCCAACAGAGCAGACAGAACCACAGCGGTTGATTACTCTGGGGTCTGGAAAAGCCCAGATTCCCTGTCCCCTCTGAGAGCAAATCCCCATAAATCTGAGAGGGGAAAAAAAAAATCAATCTCATCCTATACTCTCAGTGTAGGGCATTGTGAGTGGGAGTGAGGGTCGAGTGAGGGTCAGAGGAGAGTGTGCTGAGGAGGGGCAGCGATTCTGAATCTCTTTTATTTGCAGTAGAAAGAGAAAGGGAAGTTACAGACAGATGTGATTATTTACTTCAAAGAATGGAGCTAATCATAAGTATATTGTGTGGAGATTTAGGCACTTCTGTGTACCTGTTACAGTTTCAATTTTAAAATGTTATAAATTATATCATTTGGAGGGAGCTTCTCAGAGGACCCAGACAACTTTCAAATTACTTGTCCCCAATATAGTGCTTGCCCCCAAAGAAATTACTTGGTAAATGTACCCTCAGCCAGAGCCTGCTTTGAATGATAATCCAACCCGAAGAGAGAAGAAATAGAAACATGGCCCTTGACAGGACCTGGCCACTGAATCCTGCCTCCTCAGCCCAGTCTCTGCTGACCCTACTACCAACCCACTGTGGAGCCCACATTCCAGCCGGCTGCTAATTCATCCAATCCCTCTCTCTCCTTGAGCACTGTCCTGGGCTCTGGGGACAGACAGGGTACAGAAGAGGTGGCCTTAGGAAAAGCAGCCCAGTGTTTATTTGCCTGGCCCCTGTTTTGCCCTACAACCCACTTGTTTCCCCCAACCCCTTGCCAAGGCGTCCTGTCATCCAACCACCAGGCGGCTGCCCTTCACTGTGGATCGACAGCTTAAAGGAAGGGCTCACAGCCAGACAAGGAGCAAGTGGAAAAGCAGCAGAAGATGCCACAGACCAGGTACCTGGGTGCTAACCATCCAATATCAAAGTCCCCCAAGAAAACAGCTCCCACCCTCCTCCCCAGTGCGGCCCGACCAGAGCCTGTATTCATCCAGTGTTGCTGTCCATCTGTCACCCCACAGCATAGTCACCAATCCTGTCTGTCCACAGCTGTAGGGAGAGAAGAGACTCTTGAAAGCCACCAAACACTCAAACACTGCAGCTCATTTCCAGCCCCAGCCCCGTCTGCAGCAGGTGGGCAGACATTTGCCGACCCTGCAGCCCCTGCAGGCTCAGTTCCCAATGCTGCACGTCTGGGCAATCACTGGAACTAACTGGTGAGTCCCTGGACCAAACACCAGGTGGTGGGGTGGCTGTGGTGAGAGAAGAACAGGGGATGTGAGGGCCCCAGGTTCTTACCATTTGTTGTCACAGAATTTGTAGCGGTGGTCATCCGCAGGGACGATGTCAATCAGCAGGATATATTTGGTCTTGGGGTTCATGCCTGTGACTTTTACCTTGTAGCTGGGGAACATCCTCCTGGGGGGAGCCAAGGTGTGAGGCAGAGGCATACAGAGAGCACCAGAAGAGATGGCACACAGGGGTGAGGGGACAGAAGGCCTTAGACACTGGCCCCTGATCAGACCTGTGTGAGCTGGGTAAGGCCCTTCCCTCTCCGGCCTCAGCCTCCCCCTACACAAGGGAAGGGCCACACCAGTTGCTCTGAGCCCCGGGAGCTGTGTCTAGGAAGAGGGCTTACCTGGCTTCCCCAGTGCAATTCCCTCTTCCCCACGATCCCCTAATATTTAGGCCTACTGGCTGTGAGCAGCTAAAGCATAGAAACCCTCAGGGTCATGAGAGAGGATTTCAACAGCAACCTGGCTGCTTGATTTCCCTCCTGCCCTTTGCCAGTCCATATGCAACTAAAGTTCTGGGCTGCCATTAACAGGGGCCAGAGCAAAAGACCTCGAAGTCCCTGTCAGCTGCTTCTGTAATCAATGGAGTGTCTCCTCCGGGCCTTGCCTCTGTGGAAGCCCTCAGGCCTCAAACCAACTCACAGGAAAACAGGAGAGCGCTGCTAGGTCTTTGGATTCCTTTGGGGTGTTCAGCAGAAGTGTTTAACTGTGTGAAGACCTTGCCTGGGCCTCTGCACACTCACCAGGGACCAGGGGAAGCCAGCTCAGGAGCCTCATGGAGAAAAGATTCTAGGACCACTGTGCCTGGGCCCCACCACTGACAAGTTGTGAGGCGTTGGGCAACTTGCTTGGATCTCTCTGTGCCTTGGTTTCCTTATCTCTAAAACGGGCATATTACCACCTATCTCACAGGTTGGTGTGTGGATTCACTGGATTCACTGCATCCATTTGTGACTCTTGCCGCTGGCCCTCACAGCACTCCTTCCTCCACAAACCAGTGGGTGACCGACCTCTGTGAAAATGGACTCACCAAAAAACAGGAAGTTTTCCAGTTTCCACAGCCCATGCTAAGACCATCCAGGACCCCGAGGCTCAGTGAATATTCTAGAGAAGGACTTCCCCAGACCCCCCAGCACACACACATGAACAACAGCATGTACACACACCTGCAGGGGCACAGCTCTGCCCCCTGGTCACCAGGTCCCTGACACTGGACCTCCGCAGAGGGGCAGACAGACCTTCCTCACAATCCTCTCAGACACCCCCACCCTCTCCTAGCTGATCTCCCACAAAGGTGTTTCCCCCAAGAGAGAGGCAGGATCCAAACCTAACTGAAGACACTAGGGCATCAGGAACCAAATCCCCTGAGTTGGGGACAGTGCCCAAACTGTCCCCTCAAGGAAAGCCATCAAGTCGTCCTCTGCCTCCTCATTAAGCGGAGAGAACCTCAAGGGAAGCTGTCCTAGACACCTCAAACAGATGATTGCAGCCCCCCATTTTGTCAACAGGGGTTCCAGCTTACCTGGACAGGACAGGGCTTCCAGAAGGGTTCAAGGCCTCCACAAGCCGGCAGACCCTACAGCAAGCCCCGGCCAGGACCCTGAGGTGGGAGGTTCAGTTCTACCCCTGGCCCAGCCCCAGTCCGCTGGCCCTCTCTCTTGCGGGAGGAAGGGCCCTTGAGAGCGCTGCAGTGGGCCAGGGACGTGGGAGGTGTGTGGCCTGTGTATGCACGCGCGCGTGTACTTGAGTACACAATGGAGTGCGCATGTGTGCACGTGTGCCTGCCTGGAGGGAGGAGGGAAGTTCTAGCTGCAAGTCTAGGGACTTATAAAACGTGTGGAAGAATTTGTCTCAGATGTCAATTGAAAGCATTTTCAAATGTCCACCCCACCCCCTCTCCAGGAATGGGGGAAGTGAGAGGGCTCAGGAACCCGGTCCTGCCTGCTTACCAGCCCCTGCCCGGCCTGGGGGCACAGCTGGAGCCTGCACCACCCTCTTTCCAGGCCCAGCCTCTTCCCTGATAGGCCTAAAGCTGAAGCGGGGAGGGCAGCAGCTGCCTCACCTCCCCTCCTCCCTGGGGGAAGGCCAAGAATCCTGTCCCCTCCAAACCACCATTTTGTAACCGCTACAGAAACTGCCACAAGATGGGGCAGTCCTGGCTGTGCTTGCGCTGACCTGGCACCAGTGCCCCGTTCTTAGCCTGTTTGTCCTATAATCACTCCAGGTAGCAATGGCAGAGGGCAGATATGGCCACCCCCCAGGACAGTATCTACAAGGGCGGCCAGGAGAAAATGGCTCCCTGCCACTGGAGTAGTCTCCCTAACCTGGGCTGAGAGGAGGGTCAAGGACCCTGCCCTTCCCCTTCTTCTACTCCCTACTACGCTTTGTCTCAGCAGCTCAGGAGGCCAGGCTGACATGGGCTAGATGCTTTCTAGAAGGCCCATAAGCAGCCTGTGCTCAGCTTCCCAAGGCATGGAACTGGGGTCCTGTGATTTGGCTTCTCCTAGAAGCTGGCCACAGACTGGACTCCTGATGGAAAACACCCTCAGGAAGGTTTTGCCAGGAATTGGCACAGGGAAGGAAGGTATCCCCCAGCCTCTGCCTCCCCTGCCTACCAATTCCCCTCTTCCCAGGGCTGCAGCCCTGAGGGGCAGGGACCCGGGATGCGACAGCTGGCCTGAGCCGGGAGCTCAAGAGTCCACTGCTCCAGGCCGAACTACTCAGGCTCAGGGAGCGCCACTGTTTTCGCTGGAATAGGTATCTCCCTATCTGTCAGGGGTCCAGTTTGGTGACTGCTTCTGAGAACTCGAGCCTTGGGGACCCTATCATTTCCCCACCTGCGGGGCTCCAGTAGAATGCAGGGCACACCCGGGTGGGGAAAAGGCTGCGTGTGCAGGAGAAGCACACGGTCCATGCAGCCTGTAAGCTTCCCCTCCCCGCTGAAGGCATCTGCCCTTGGTTCCAGAGGGGGCTAAAGCTGGAGCCCAGAGGCCCAGCAAGGGAGCGTTCCCGGGTGAGCGCGACTCCTGCCACGGCAGGCTGGGTCTGGGAACTGTCACCTCCTCGGGGCTCCCCTACACTGTGAAGGAAGGCCCTCTCTCCTGAAACCGATGGCGGGAGGGAGTGCGATGTAAATTGTTTCTGTGACTCAGGATGTAAATGTACCTGGAAACCACCACTGTGGGGGAAATGAACAGCTCATCGGGTCGGGGAGGGAGGGCCAGGAAGAGAGGTTAGGGCTCTGAGCCGCCTGGCTCCCACTCTGCCCCGCCACCGGCGCCGGCCAGGAGTCCCGGGCTCGCCTGTCCCGGACACCCCGTGGCCCCCCCACCCCCAGTCCCGCGCCGTCGAGCCCTCTCCCCCACTCTCTCCCTGCGCCCCGAGGGCCTCCCGTCTGCGTCCCTGGCGCCCCCTCGGGGCTCCGGGCCCCGCGGGCAGAGGGGCGCTCTGGGCGCCCGCGGAAACGGCTCCGCCGGGGCATAAACAAGCCGCCCGCCCCGCCGCCCGGGAGGAGATGAAAGCCGGGGGTTTCTCCTCTGATCATGAAACAGGCTCTGAAAGGGTGCGGGCTGGAGCCTTTATCTACTTCATACTCGGAAATGGTTTTAGAATGAACTGCTAAGATAAGCTTCCTTGGACGTTTCTCGGCGTGGGAGGCTTGCGGGGCGCGGGGCAAGGGATTCGGGGCATTGTGATCTTGGCAACAGCCCCTCTAATGCTCGCTCGCTGCTGAGAGGAGACGTGCAAGTTCAGCTGGGCTCAGACAGCCGCGGGGGGCTCCTGGCTCCCCGGCCTAAGCCCTAGCCAAATTCCTGACCTTGACCTACGTGAGCCCCTCACCAATCCAGAAGGGGGGGTGCAGGGAGTAAGCCGGACCTAGGAGACCAGCCAGATTCTCTCCACCTAGCCAGGACACCAAACCCCAAACCCGAAGGCACCCGACTTTCTCTGGGGCCCCGGAAACCCCAGGAGCATCTAGATGTGCCTTCCCTTAAACGTAGGCACAAAACCAAATCCAAGGGGTGCGAAGTCCGGAGAGGGGCTTCGAGGGGGGGGGCCGGGAGTGGTGGGGGGGGAAGGCACACAAGAGGTTCTCTTCTGTTTCTTTATCTGGGTGGTGCCATGATTGGGGGTACTCCTTTTGTGAAAGTCTATAGAGCTGTACAATTAAGATTTGTTCGTTTTTCTGCAGGAATGTCCCACTTCAATAAAACGGACATTGAAAATTATACCCGTGTATATATCATATGTGTGTGTCCACACACACACACACACACACACACACAGTTTTCTAATTCACTCATAGCATTTTTAAGAAATATTTTCCCTGAGGTGGGGGGCAGGAGTGAGGGTGTGTGGAATGAATGCTGTTTTGGAAGATCAGTTGCTTCTCTGATTCTTTTTTAAAGACACTTCCTTCTGATAGACTTTTGCTTTCAGAAAATACTTTAGAAAGAGATCAAAGGACTCTCTCTCCAACCCACTTTCCCAGTGTCTTCAACCCTTACTTGTCTTATCACCCACGCCACTGGGTTCTGACGCTCTGTATACAGAGCGAGGGCAATTGGCTTTGAAGCCCCGGATTAAGCTGGGCCAAATCCTTGCCTCAGAATAACAAACAATACAGGTTCAACAGGAGTTCTCATCGGTAGTTCATTTTTCAAACGCAAATTCACTGTCACTAACACAAGCAACATTGAACTCAACAGGCTATGAAGGCTGATAGTGGAGATTTATCTGGTGGCAAAACCATGACCTAGGAGGAGAGCAGTCAAACGGTTAGGAAATTTTCATTTTGGGGAGGTTTATATTTAAATTTTTTGTGGAGCTCACTTTTATCTATGTTTGGGAGAAAATGCAGTTTCTCACATGTTTCAAGCTTGGCAGGGATGTGAAGGAGGTAGAGACAGGAGGGGTCTGCTCAATGCAGTGAATGGCTTAAAACTTGTGAGTGCAGGATACTGAGAGGGACAGAAACTGGCTGGGAGGATTCTGGCCCCATTTTACACCTGACATCAGGGGTTACTGAGCATTCAGAAATTGATGTCTCCTGATGTGATTGGCATTTTATTCCCCAGATGGAATGGTTTGAGAATCCAAAGCCACTGTCCAGTGAAGGAGATTATTCTCTCCTTGGCCTTAAGACCTTCAGGGCTTCAGGCAAGAGGCTTGTGACCAAAAACTCAAACTAGCTTGAGAACATTCTGGGTTCCCCTTTTCCAGGGCCTGCCTCTCCCTCAGCCAGACAGCAACGACCATGCCCCTAACCAGCCAGGGTCCCTAGGGTAGAGCAACAACCCCACATCGAATGGCTTCGTAAATAAGCCATAAGGGGAATTTCTCAAAGTTGGGGTTTTGTTCTGGGGGTGGAGTATCATCAGCTTGGCTTGTGTAGACTTGCTTCTGTCTATAAGAGCCAAGTGCCTTCCCTTTTCTGGGGTCAGGTTTATGTTCCCCTGGTTCTCCTCCAGCTCAAGCAGTCTAGGAATCTGTGATTCAAGGTTCAGGCCATCTGCTAAGAAAGGCAGGTGTCCCAAGAAGGGTGCTGGTAGAGACACAAAGAAAAGTGGGAGTCCACAGGATGTTGAAGAGCAACCGAGCCCAGGCAAAGCAAGCTACCTCCTGAGGCTGCCCAGGAGAGGGAGGCAGTGAAGGGGGAGGGGGTCACGGGGATCAGAACCCTGAATTTGGTCTCTGAGGTCAGGGAGCAGCTATGCAGGAGGAAAGAGGGTCTGTGAGAACAGTGGGGAGGGGCGATGAGGCTAGTGACTTTCTTTAGGACTAGACCTGTTGCACAAATAACTTTCCGCCAGAGAAATGAAAGAGTGTGATGAAACCATAATTGGCCAACTTCATCACAGCCATTTAAAAATTATTATCATCATTCCCTGAGGCCCATCTCTAAGCCTTCACTAGGAATCGGGCACAAACATCTGCCCGATGTTGGTCACCTGTAGAAGTGTGTGTGTGTGTGTGTGTGTGTGTGTGTGTGTGTGTGTGTGTGTG